AAAAAAAAAAAAAAAAAAAAACCACAAGTGTATGTCTGTGCTAAATGACTGATCTGAGACTGAACGTACCACATCGTCAAACCCTTTTCTTCTGTCATACCCTTTTCTTCTGTCAATGTGATGGTTTTAGTCTCAAATCTCACCTTAATCCCAAAGTGCAAGTAAAAGAATGCTTCTCCTTAACAATAAACTATCCTCTTCAAAACAAAAAGTATAGGTGAACATTCCTAAATCTGAAAATCTGAACTTCAAAATGCTGCAAAATCCAAAACGTTCTGTGCACTGATATTACTCAAAGGAAATAATCATCGGAGCATTTTGGATTCTGGATATTTGGGATTAGGGACACTGAATCACTGAGTATAATACAAATACTCTAAAATCTGAAATCTGAAACACTTCTAATCCCAAGCATTTCAGACAAGGGATATTCCACCTATATGTATCTTAACCTACCTTGAACATACGAGGTGCCACATGAGTGTCTCTTCCAGACCACATCTGCTTTATGAGCTCAGCATAGGCCTCCGCAATCTCCCCCTTCATCCCCAGAGGGTTGTCTCTGTTAATTTCAGCCTCATACTCATCTTTGAGAAAGTAGTCAGTCAGTGGTGCTGTATTGCTAAGGCACTGAAACAGAACATGATCAGAGCTTATATCCATTCTAGGAAACACATAGATTTATTAGATAAACCAAATTCTATAGGCTGACTGAGAGTCAACCCCAACAAAATGAAGTACTGAGATTTCCTGAAGGCTTACTTCAATAAGGTACAGCTGATAGACCCCTTGTGGCTAACCCCCTAGAGTAGTGGTTCTCAATCTTCCTAATGCTGCAGCCCTTCAATACAGTTCCTGTGGGTCAAAACCCACAGGTTCAGAACCACTGTCTTAGGGGATCTTACCTGCACTGCCTAAGACTTTCCCTCTAAAAAAAGCTGAGGGCAAAAACTAATTTTTTATTTAATAGAAGGTAATAATTTCTTTTTATTTTTTGAGACAGAGTCTCACTTTGGCACCCTTGGTAGAGTGCCCTGGCGTCACAGCTCACAGCAACCTCCAACTCTTGGGCTTAAGCAATTGTCTTGCCTCAGTCTCCTGAGTAGCTGGGACTACAGATGCCTGCCATAATGCCCAGCTTTTTTTGTGGTTGTTGTTGCAGTTGTCATTGCCATTTTACGTGGCCAGGGCCAGGTTTCAACCCACCACCCTTGATATATGGAGCCAGCGCCTTATCCACTGAGCCACAGGCGCCACACCATAACTTTTTTTTTT